GAGACCCCAGAAAGTGAGCGTGGGGGGGGGCTCCTGTAGAAGCTGGGGGTGGGGAGCAGAGACAGAAGGTGAAGCTATTGCCTCCAGCCTGTCAAGGCAGACATACCCCTATTATCCACCCAACGAAGCAGGTAGACCTCTCAGTTCCTCTCCAGACTTTACAACCCTGGCCTTGCCATGCGCAGCTGGTCCTGGGAAGGACCCTGGAGGAGGGGGAAGGTGTGGGACTTTGTGACTCTAGCCGTAGTAGCACCTTGCCCCAGGGTCTGCCCACACCCTCACCCTGGCATCTGCTGAGCAGCTAGTCACGCAGGCCCTGCCTGCAAGGAGTGCCTAGAAGCCTTGGTTTCTTCGGGGTCAAAATTCCTACCCAGGGGTGCTGGACCTTGCACCAGCGTGTTTATTGGCTACCTGCTGTATGCCGGGCATGATGCCAAGTGTTCACTGTCCTCTCTCCTGTTTTCCTCCTGCCGTGACCCCTTCAGTGGCAATCGGGTTCCTGAAGCCTGGCATTGCCAGGGCATAGGGTTGCCCATTCCTGTTCTTCTTGCCTTCCTTTGTGCACCTCAGGCTTCTCCTCACCACCTGCTCCATGCTGGGCTAAACCTAGTGCGACACGCAAAAGGGCAGGTGGAATCTCCTGGCATGTCCCAGTGGGTGGGCCCACCAGTGAATGCGTTTGGCGTGCAGGGAGGCCTCTCTGTTTTGCCCATGTCTAGCCCGTCCTTGAGCTCTGAGTGGGGGAGCTAGGATCTTGCGGGGAGGTGGTCAAGAGAGAAGAAAGCTGTTTGTCTTTCCCTGTAGCTTCCAAAACTGAGACTCAGCTTCTCAAAACTGAGATTTTAGTTCTGGAAAGTGACTGTAAGCAGCTACACCTAAGCAGGGAAAAGGCTTCTTCTGTTTCTCTCCTTGTCTGGGAGTGGGGTGGGAGAGAACCCAGGCCGGAGCTCGCTGCCAATCCTGCCTGGCGTGGAGGACCCCCACCCCACGTACGTGCAGCTTCACACGTGCCCAGACACACACAGGGCTCTGGGGGGGCCCTGGGGCCGGGGAGAAACTGCAGAGAGCTGGGCTGGATGGCTCTCATTTCCAGGATTCCCTTCTCACATTTGGGCTGCAGCCATGCAGGCATCTCTGGCAAGGTAGAGGCTGCATTTATGGCTAACTGAATTCTTTCTTGGAGCTTCTAGATGGGTGGGGGGAGCCAGCTCTGTTGGTTAGAAAGAGTATTTATGATTTGTTTTGTTATCGGGATTGGGCCTCACGCCCTGGCTCCCTGGCTCTGTACAAACCTGCTTCTTTGTCTCTATGCAAATACTCCCAGAGCCTGGAGGTCAGGACTGGGGGTGGGAGGCTGGGGAACTGTCCAGCCCCTCCTCTTGGGGAGCCTATAGACAGGCCAGAGGAACCATCTTTTGGGATGCAGGGTGGACGTGGGCTGGAGAAGGGAAAGGGGGACTCGATTGCAACTTGCCCCTTCACCGACTGCAGATATCTTGGTCCACCCTCTGTTTCCTGGTGCTGTCCGTGAGCAGCTGAGGAGGATGGAGAGGTTCTTGTTTCTTCCCTCGGACCTCAGATGGGAGTGGGGTAAAGGCCTGCTGGATGCACCTGTGTGCCTAAGTGTCTCTGGATTCTAGCAAGCGTCTCTAATCCCAGCTACCTTTTTTTTTAGAGGGTTTTGCTATATAGGGTGCGTGCGCTTGACAGACAGACAGAGACAGAGAGACAAAACGAGAAATCACCCCCCAGGGGGGATGGCCACGCCGCAGTCCCTTCTCCTCCATTCTCCTCTCGGGATCTTGGGCACGCACGCACACATGCCCGGCGTGAGTTTTAAGCCACCGGGTCTGGGACACGAACCACAGTCGACTACATGGGAGTCCGGCGACATAGCCATTACGCTAACTGCTGGTCCCCCTTTTTTCTTTTTTAGTCTTTTTGCTATAGTGTGTGTGCACTCTCTGGAGAGAGACAGAGAAGAAAAATGAGAAATCATTCCTCAGGGGGGCTAGCCATGCTGCAGTCCCATCTCTTTTTTACTCTTCTCTTGGGATTGTGGGCATGCACACACATGTGCCTGGCATGTTTTTCAAGCTGCCAAGTCCAGGATTTGAACCGTGCTGTGGCCATGTGGGATCTAGATCCTTAACCACCATGCTACTGCTGGCTCCTCCCAGCTGCTTTTAAGAGGTGGGGGCAGTGGTGGGCAAATCCAGGATTGGGGCCTGGAGCTTTCTTGACTCCCCAGAATTCTCTGCCTCTACTGGGAAAATTGGGATCAGGCGTCTTAGGGAGCGGGGTTGGTACTAGGAGTGAGAGTGGGAAGAGGACCTGCTGAACCTTGGGGATGGGGGAGATGAGTTCAAACAGTGGGCACAATGGTCAGACGGAGTCTCTAGGCAGCTCCCTTCCACTTTGCTGTCATCCTCAAATCGGGGCCTCAAGGAACTTTAGGGATCACTGTGCTTCCCAGTACCCCCATTTTACAGATGAGGAAACTGAGGCCCAGCATAGCTCTTTGTGTTTTGCCAAGAGGAACAGGTGCATGCTTTGTCT